TTCTAGTTTTCAAAGTTATTGTTTTGGAGTTGAGGAGGTGGAGGGACTGAATACAAAAGATTGTGTGTTGACAAGGAATCTAGCCTGTTAAATGTAAAAGAAAATTATAGTCACCTGCTTTGAAGCAGTGGCGCCACCCCTACCCCACCGTACTCCAGGGGTCAAGTTTAGAGCTGGGGTAGATTTACAGTGAACTCACTTGGAGGCATTGCGATTTTAATAAACCATTGTTTTGCAGCTAATGTAGAAACGCCTGGCTCTTTGTAGATTTCTTTTCAGCCAGGCTGCAGAGTAAATAACGTTCAATAATCACATCACTGGGTCTCTAAATAACTGTTTCCTAAAGCAGCCCTGCCCTCTGTCCTGGTCATCACTGGAATTATCGACTGATTTTTATACCGAGTGTCTTCCTAGTTTCCACATCCCTGGGAAAACCATGTGAGCTCAATGCTTTTTAAAGTGAGGCCCAAGGACCAGAGCCAGGCTGCAACCTAATTGTTTCTGGTTCATGACAAAATACATACAGAAATTGAGAGTAAGTGTTCAGAAACTTTCATAGCAATTTGACAGCATGGTTTTATGTCTGTTGAATCTAATGATACACACTTGGGGTTTTATCTTCTTGTCTTCTTATTTGCCTAGTAATTCATTTTTATTAGATTTTACAAAAGTATTGATCTGTTGTGGATTGGAAAAAGAGAACTGGTCTTTCCCCACCAATAGATTGAGTTGTACTGGTCTACCAATACAGTAGCTACCATGTAGCCACTGCAGTTACATTGGTCAGTGAATGTCAGGATCTTCCCACCCACCAGAGACTAAGGAAATATTGATTTAAAAAGGGAAGGTTAGGGAGGTTGGAGATTTTTTTTTCCCTTGTCTTTTGTTACATTTTCATTGTTGCCCTTACAGACATTTCTTTGGGCCTCTCTTCTGCTAAATGAAGGTTTAGGTGGATTTTGCTGCATTTCCTCCAGATGGGGATGCTGAGATTCACCTGAATGTGCGGTTGGCAGCCAGCTCCCAGACGGAGTAAGCGCTGGGCTGCTCCTCCCGCCTCTCCCCAGGGATAGTCACTGCTGCCCAGTGGCCTGGCCCTCCATCTGGTAGGGAGGGATTATGTTTGCTGCCAGGGGAAAGGATCAATGAGCTAATGTCTGGGGAATGTTCTGGAGTTCTGTGGAGGAAAGGCAGAGTCCACCCACATGTGACACCTTGAGCTAAGGAAGGAGAGCTGTGGATGGAGAGGGGGAACCAGGAAAAGAAAATCAAGAATTGAGTCATCTCTTGACTTCACTGCAGTCCCTGTGGTCAGCCTGCTCTTGTGGCCTTGAGCTGTACTTTCACATGGAAGTTTTGAGATGTGATGGGGAGAGGGAGAGAGGGAAGCCTGTTTGCCTTTTCCTCTGTCTGGGACTTTTTCTCCAAGATATCTACAAGGCTCTCTCTCTCCTTTTTCAAGTCTTGACTTAAATGTGACCTTCTCAGTGAACCCTTCTGTGGCCCTTTCTTCCAGCACATTCTGTTCCCTTTGCCTGCTTTATTTTTCTCTGCAGCATGTTATCCTCTAACACATGGATTCATTGTATATTCTATTGTAATATAATGCAGTTAATGTAATGTCACCCATTCAATGTCAGTTTCCAAGGGTAAGGGTTTTGTCTGTATTGTTTGCTGCTGTATCTCCAGGTCTAAAACAGTGCCAAGCAGATGCCAGGTGTCCAATAAATATATGTCAGATAAATGAATGAATGAGCAATCAACAGTGAAGGAGCAGGATTGCAAAGGAGTCAGCTGTGTCCAAGGAAGCCTTCACTGCATCTACACAGCTCTGTTCACTGAGTGTTAGAGTAGGAGCCACGGGGTGGGCACAGTTGAGGGAGGTATCCCACCTTTAATGAGTGCACACTGGATGCTGGGCACTGTGGTAGGCATTCTGTGTTCATTATTTAAAGATCAAATCACTATGTGTTGCCAGCTCCATCTTACAGATGGGAGACCCAAGAGATTAAGAAACTCCTGCCAGGTCATCCAGCCCAGGAAGTGGCATGATCAGAGTGCAGCCTCGTCTCTCTGATTCCTCCCGTTCAGGGAAATTTCCAAAGGCAGTCATTTGTTCACAGTGTCTCTTGTTTCTTTGCTTTCCTACCTACAAAATAGGTTTTGATTTTCCTCATCCATCACTAAATTTTTGTCTTGGGAGAACAGAAATCTGGGAAAATTAGAACTCAATTATTACAAGATGGGAGCTTTGCAAATAGGGGGCTGAAAAATTGGATGGAGTTACTGAGTAATATTCTCAAATAAGTGAGTGGAGATCAGGGCTTGATTACATCCAGCCAATGGGGATGAATGTCTTTCTTTCTTTTCTTTTCTTTTTTCTCTTTTCTCTCTTTTCTTGTCTTGTCTTTTCTTTTCTTTCTTTCTTTGTCTTTCCTGCCTTCCTTCTCTTCCTTCTCTCTTTCTTTCTTTCTCTCTCGCTCCTTCCTTCCTTCCTTCCTTCCTTCCTTCCTTCCTTCCTTCCTTCCTTCCTTCCTTCGTTCCTCCTCTCTCTCTCTCTCTGTCTCTTTCTCTTTCTTTCTTTTTCTTTCTTTCTTTCTTTGACAGTCTCTCTCTCTGTTGCCCAGGCTGGAGTTCAGTGGCACGATCTCAGCTCACTGCAACCTCTACCATCCGGATTCAAGGGATTCTCACGCCTCAGCCTCCACTGTAGCTGGGACTACTGGCATGTGCCACTATGCCTGGCTAATTTTTGTATTTTTTAGTAGAGACAGGGTTTCACCACGTTGGCTAGGCTGGTCTTGAAATCCTGACCTCAGGTGATCCACCCGCTTCGGCCTCCCGAAGGGCTGAGATTACAGACTTGAGCCTCAGCAGCCAGCCAGGAATGAATGATTTTCTATGCAAGTCTCCATGCCAGGCACTGGTTTCAGTCTTGGTGCCCGCTCTTATTATTCCCGATCTCTCCTGGTGAGAGCGCAACCTCCACTCTCAGCTTATTGCCTCTTATTTTAAAAATAGTTATGGAGCATCTACTATGTGCTTGGGAGAGGTCAGTAAAGACAACGAAGTTCCTTGCCCTTCATGGAAGTTACGTTTTAGTAAGGAGAGGGAGACAAGGAGTCAACAGTAAGCAATGAACCATGAAGTAAATGATATGGTATATTAACAGATGGCAAGTGCTCCAGAAAAAAAGATAAGGTAGCACAGGGGAAGGTTTCAGTATTAAATCAACCGGTCAAGATGGACCCTGTTGAGATGGTGACCTTTGAGCAAAGACTGAAGGAGATGAGGAAGTGAACCAAGAGGCTCTCTGGAGGGAGAGCATTCCAAGCAGAGAGAGCAGGGCCCTGTCACTGAGATAGGATCATGCCTGGTCTGTGTGGGGGACCACAGGAAGGTGAGCATGAGTTGGGGAGACCTGGTAGGTAAGACAACAGGATAAATGGGATAAGGCAGGTCAGCCAATATGTAATCATTATCTTTTCCCTTTAATTCTCTTTTTAGTACCCACCATAGGTGCATATTCCCCAAAGTATTAGCATTGAAGTATTTGGAAATGTCGCCATTCCAGTCTGGCCAGTTCCCTAACCTCTCCGGATTTGGGTTTCTTCAGCTGTAGCAGGAAAGGATTCTTTCATATTAAGATCATCTCTAATATCCCTTGTTTGACTCTCCTTGAATGATTTCCCCTTCCAGGAGGACTGTTTGGATTGCTTACTTGCTTCCTTCCCTCCTTTCTTTCTTCATTTATTCATCATGAGCTTTTAAAACACTCGTCGGTACCTGAGCACTGTCTGGAACAACGCACATGGAAGGGGAGGAAGCAGAAAGCAGAATCTCTGCCTTTCAGTAGCTTGCAGTCTCTCCCTGCTAAGTTTCAATGAGAATGTGATAAGTCAGGTGAGAATTAGGGCAAGTCCATTAGCAAAATAAGAATAGTACAGGAGAACAAGAAGCCATGTGCACGAGGAGGAATGTGAGTAAAAGGCTGGAGTAGGTAGGTAGATGGGTGGTCAGGAATCCCAGGTTCAGGAAATGTGGGAAAGGGGTGAGGATATGGCAAAAGGTGTCTGCATGCTCTGGGAAAAGGAACGATGAGGCTGTGAGATGGAGCCACACCGAAAGGGGAGACTGGCTGATTGACCAGCCATGGAGATCGGAGGGACCTGGATCCCAACAGGAGGCAAATCTTAAGGAAAGGATGATGTCATGAAGATGGGAATGAAAGGCGATTATCCTGGCTATTTAGTACTTCTCCCGGATGTGAGGTAAAATAAGGAAATAAAGAAGGGGAAAACCAGCCCAGGAAACTGTTGCATTTCTTCTGGATCCTGATTTCAGAAATTGTTGCTCGTCACTGACCTCTTTTCTGGCCGCCCACTGGAATTGTAATCAGATTTTCTAGGCATTGAGGTCACACACAAAAACTCATGAGACAACATATATTTGAAAAAAAAAAAAAAGCTATCTAAACAAGAAAATGAAGCTTTTTCTATATTGTTGGCCTGGCCCAAATTTTACAATTGAACTCTATGTCCATTTTCAAGATTTTTAGTGATAAACTCTCTCTCTCTCTCTTTTTTTTTTTTTTGAGATGGAGTCTTGCTCTGTCTGGAGTGCAGTGGCACAATCTCAGCTCACTGCAACCTCCGCCTCCCGAGTTCAAGCAAGTCTCCTGCCTCAGCCTCACAGTTGTGTTTTTTTTTTTTTAACTCAAATAAGACTGACTCTTCCATTGCTTGTCCAAGTGCCCTCTGTGAGCCATTCTGGAAACAAAAGAATATCCCCAAATTGAGGTTCATGGCCAACTTCATTTTTCTGCGTGCCATTGTAGTGGCGTGATTCACACACTGGCTGCATTCATATATGTGTTTACTATAACAGGCTTTGTGGGGTTCAGCTGGAGTTGGACGCCAGCATCCACAAGCCCGATAGAGCCCTGCATTTATCTACTCCTCCATTTCTGACTCTATTTCATAATGTGTTGATATTTCTAGGCGAATCTTGCACAACTATTGAGAGATTCTCAGGACCGAAATAAACATCTGGGAGAAGAAATTAAAGAACTTCAGCAAAGGCTTGGAGAAGTCCAGGGTGACAACAAGGTACTGTGAGTATTTACAGGGAAAAAGCTCTGCTGCAAAACTGTGCATTTGAGGTTTATATATTGCACATTGGAAAAATGTAATGCAGCATTTGTTGAAAAGTTTGTTGTAGATTTTTAAATTTGTAATGAAAATTCGCAGTTTAGCATATCTTGCCTTTTTACATTCCCTTTATGTGTGTGCATGCATGTATATGTGTGTTTCTCAGTGGCTCTAAAATATTTCCACAACCCATTGTGGAAGTTTCATTCTGTTCAGCTTGGTGGTGAATAACACTGTGGTTGAGGGCAAAATAAAACCCAAATGTTATACTTTCCCCCTTATATACACATAATGGATTTGTGGCTCAGATGATTTGGAATTATTCACATTCGGTTTTGAATTTTAAATAGTCATCCTACTAATTATGTTCGCATAACCAATTTATTTTATTGCTAAATTTGGCGATTTGTATGGAACATTGCTCAAAATCCACTGCTTGGCATTAATTAAACTCCCCTGTTGGCAACGTTAATTATAAAATATGAACTCATAAACTCCCAACTAAATGTGTGCACTCTCTCTTCCAGCTGAAGCTACGAACAAAAGTACAATTGAGAAAGGAAAGAAAAACTACCCAAGTTTAATTCTGTCCCCCAAAATCATTTCCCGTTTTGCCAAGATTGATCCATTTCCAACTCCTTGCCCCAGGCGGCTTTTGCAACAGAGATGGCTTTGAAAGTGAACTCAAGAAAACTATAGTGTGTGTGTGTGTGTGTGTGTGTGTGTGTGTGTGTGTGCGCGCGCGCGCGCGCGCGGTGTGTTGGAGGGGAGCCGTTCTTAGGGAACTGTTTTTAGATGTTACCAAATTGCTTGACAAATGATGGTGACTTTCATCATTGCTGGGAGTTGTTGGTTATTAGAAGGAGCCATTTTGAAAAATGCTCCCTCTTTAAAAAATGCATAGAATTGCCTGGGTCATCCAGAGAACTCTTCCGTAACAAGACGTCAGAGAGGGTACTGCATACTGCTGGCTTGAGAGTCCTGACTTGAGGGCATATATATACATCTAGTAAGCCTTTCTTTACACAGCTTCTTCTCCACTTAACTGGCCTTACATTTTTTTAACCTCTTGGATTTAACATAAATTTGAATACTTAGGCTTTACTATTCCTGGTCATGAAATAAAGGGTGGGAAAGAATGTGCAAGAAAGGCTCTAATTAACACTGGACAAGCTAATCCGGCCCCTTGTGTGGTTTTATGCATCATTAAAAGGATTTAAGCTCTGTAACCTAGGTGTTTGGTCAATAATTAAAGGACAGACCTTCTTACTCACTTCCTCAAGTGATAGCAGCAGGGCAAGATTTGCTGGAGAATAAAACAAAATGTATGCAATAGTTTTCTTTAAGCCCATGAGAATACTAGAGGAGTTTATAAACCCATGAAATACTGAAACATATTTAAGATGTGACTTCTGGAGCCGTGACTCTTCTTGACTGACTGATAACATATTTTTTCTATTTCATTTTTTCTTCCTGAGCTGCTCCTCCCCTCAACTTTCCTAAATGTGCTCCTGTCTCATCTTTTGATCACTTTCAATTCTTTTGCCTTTTAGGTATGAGAATTTTAGGAATTGACGTTTGCAACTGACAGTTCACAGAAACAGAGAGCAGCCAGGCGTGGTGGCGCACTTCTAGCCACAGATAGTCAGGAGGCTGAGGCCGGAGGATTGTTTGAGCCCAGGAGGTTGAGGCTGCAGAGAACCATGATCATGCCAATGACCTCTAGCATGGATGACACAATGAGACCCTATCTCTTTCAAAAAGAAAGAAAAGAAAGGGAGGGCATGTGTGTGAGTGTGTTAGTGTGTGTGAGAGAGCATGTTTGTGTGTTTAACACTGAGCACAGGTTGTCACAGTCTGAACTTTGTGATCTGCATGCTCTCTGGGTCTTTATTCCTGTACCTGGGCACATTTATCAAACTTTGTCTTCTCACCTTAGGTTTAGAATTTAGTGACTCCTATTCATGGCCTGTGAAGAAGTTTGCCTGCCAAAAGGGGCATGGGAAGATGTTCTATTGTTCAGCAAACCTTCCCATTTCAGTATCTGGCCTCTCTCCCTCAAAAAAAAAAAAAAAAAAAAAAAAAAAAAGTCTAACTGCAGTGAGCCCCAGAGATTCCATTTATTCTCATTTGCCTCTAAAGTTACAGGGCTGGTTTATTTTCAGGCTCGTGTGAGTCACGATCATCCTTCCCCTATCCCCCACCTAGAGGCCAGATTACTCCTTCCATAATGACACCAGACTTCCTGTTCCCAGGTTCCTGTGGCTGTGTGGTACAGAATGAGTTAAACCTTCAGTTTTTTGTTTTTGTTTTTGTTTTTTTAATTAATTAAGGCACTTTCTACTCCAACTCTTCCATCACTTTCTGCATTCAGTTCTACCTCCTGGTGCGCTAGGCCTCCATGATCACGGTGTGCTAGGCCCCCATGGTCTGACCCCTACTGATTTCTACAGCCACATCCTTGCTCCTGGTCACTTCATACTTGAGCCCTAGAGCACTAATTTCAGCCCCTTTGCTGTGCTGCACTGCCTGTGGCCACAGGACCTTTGCACCTGCTGTTTGCTCAATCTGGAATACTCTTCCCCTTTACTTCCCCTGCAAGCTTCTGTTCCTCTCCCAGGTCGTAGATCAAATGCAGCCTTCTCCAGCTCTTAGGCGTCAGTCCCGTGCAGCCTGCAATGTCTTGCTCTGCCCCTCTGCTCACACTTGCGTGGCACCGCCAGCCCCAAAGGGAAGCTCTTTGAAGGCCGAATTTCCATCTGTATCCTATAAATTAGCATTCTTAGTTCCTGATAGGGAGGTATTTTATAATCTCTATTGAAGGAGTGGAATGGAATAAACGAATGAATGAATAAAGGGAACGAAAAGAAGAGCAAAAGGATTCAAGGAAGAGGAAGAGAAAGAGAAAAAAAGCATGCAAGAAATAAACATACCAACTGCCATCTGGTTGTCATCAGTACTTTGTGGAGTAAGAAGTAGTTTAGAAATTTGGAGAAAGGAACCTTCCTTGAAAATGACAGTTCTTAAAGATTAACAAGGTTAGAGGAGCCCTCCGGGAAAAGGAGGGCTCACGAAGCCACACATTACCCTGGAAAAGCTTTGCAGAAAAGCAAACTGTCCCAACAGAGGGGGAACTAACCCCAGATATGTGTCTTTGAGGAGCTTCTGTGGAGAGAGCAGAGGGTCAGTTGCTGAGCCTTGGGGGACAAAGGATAAGTGTCCTGCTCATTGACTGGTTCAAGTCTGTTAAATCAAGAATACTTAATAATTGTTTTTTTGGACTTCTAACTCTGAGGCCAAACAGCAGGGCTGATGGCATCATTTTATGAGTGACTGTTAAAGTGGAAGATTTTTATCTCTGAGTTGCCATTTTAACTGATGACCCTTATCCATATTTTGAGAAGCCGAGATTCTAGATGTTAAGTACATTTGAAAAACAAGGTGATAGGAAATTACTTGCCTTGGATATTTTAGGGTAGACTAATTTTTCCATTTGTTCAGCTAGAGCCTTGTAACCCTGTGGGCCATAAAGCATTTCCAAACAGCCTCCCGAAAGATTTGTTGCCACCCTGGCTTCCAAGCAGCTTCGCTCTCCCATGGGGCAGGGGGCAGCGTTCTTGTGCCAACATGGGCATCCTGTGATGGGGGACCTGTGTAATCGATTACCTCCTGCGATCTCTGTCCAGTGCCCAAGAATTTCTCAGGCTCCCAAACTAACACAAACTTCCAAGCCAAACCAGATGAGAGATGTGAAAAGAGAAGCCTACTGGATACCCTCCCCTTCCTTAAAAATTACAGTTCTTAAAGATTAACAAGGTTAGAGGAGACCTCTGGGAAAAGGAGGGCTCATGAAGCCACGCATTACCCTGGAAGAGCTTTGCACGTTGCCCAGGGCTCTCAGTGTATCAGTCTATAAGGAATGAGGAAAGACTCAGGCAGTGCTGGGACCACAGAGACAGCTGCAGCTCCCCTTGGCCTGCCCCAGAGGTTGGCCCATTCCTCTTCTGGGCATTAAGAAAAGAATAGATTTAGGGAAAGGGGATCAGGAGGAAAAAAGTGGTCTCAGAGAATTGAAGGATTAGTAGGTCAAACAGCAGAACTAGCAGAGGACATTGGAATCACAAAGACGGCAGTCCTTCCTTATCTGGGGGATACTTCCCAAGACCCCCAGTGGATGCTGAAACCTGGGTTAGTGCAGAACTTGGTTGCCATCAATCAGAGCCCGTTTGTCTTCATGTCTTCTACCTACAAATGTAATGCCATTTCCGTCTTCATCGATCATTTATGCACGGTGGCCGTAGCTTTTGTAGTTTTGAGGTGCAGCAGCAAAACTAGCACAGATTTCTTTTTCCTTCTTTACAATTTCATGGACAGAAGATTGGTTCTTATTGTAGATCTTAGCAACCTCAGCATATGATTTTTTTTTTCCTTAAGTTGAGAACTTTCACCTTTTCACTTAAAAGAAGCAGTATGTGGCTTCTCTTTGGCATGGCCAAGTTGCCAGCATCACTGCTCTTGTGTTTGGGGTCATTATATTTTTATTGTATGTATGTATGTATGTATGTATGTATTTATCTATGATGGAGTCTCGCTCTGTTGCCAGGCTGGAGTGCAGTGGTGCAATCTGTGTTTGGTGTCATTCTTTTTTATTTTATTTATTTATTTTTTGAGATGGAGTCTCACTCTGTCGCCAGGCTGGAGTGCAGTGGTACAATCTCAGCTCACTGCAACCTCTACCTCCTGGGTTCAAGTGATTCTCCTGCCTCAGCCTCCCGAGTAGCTGGGACTACAGGCACGTGCCACCATGCCTAGCTAATTTTTGTATTTTTAGTAGAGATGGGGTTTCATCATGTTAGCCAGGATGGTCTCAATCTCTTAACCTCATGATCCACCCACCTCAGCCTCCCAAAGTGCTGGGATTACAGGCATGAGCCACCATGCCTGGCCAGGGAATTATT